AGGGGCTGTGGAGCAGGAGCACACAGTCACTGGCTGTACAGAGCAACACCTACATGTGGGTATGGGTATAAACATCAGCTGCTGATCCTTTCAGGTGTTACTGCCACTATTGTTGTTTTAATGCTTGCATAGTTTCATCTTCAACAGCTCCCTGGTGAAGACATAAAGCAGCTCCCACTAGTTATATGGAAGAATTTCTATTTTTGCTATATGAATTTCTACCCTGAGGTTAATTTTGCTGGGGGATTTTTTTTACCCTGGGGCATAAGGGGGTGAAAGGAATGATAGTTTAACAAAAGCCAGCAAGCTGAAAATTATGTGCACTATGTATAGCTGTGTGAAATCAAACTCTTTAACAACATTTCTTTCAAAACATTCAGCAATCAAAACAGGTAATGCAGTTCTTGATGACTCCTGATCTCTTCACAAAGCCTGAAATTCTATAAAAGCAAGAAGATGCCATTTCTACTAGGCAAAAACCATTTTTATTTCAAAATTTTTTAAAAAATCAGTAATACTCCCTCATATAAACTATGCAGACTATCAAAAGTCAGCTAGCTCTGAAACTGAGCCCTTTAATTCAGTTCAGAAAACTTTGAGCCCGGATCTTTCATTAGGACAAATAAGTACACTTCTCTTGAAGTCAGTTACACTGGTCCTGTCAGCTTGGAGAATCCCAGCTTTGTGATCACAGAAATGTTTAGTTTTTCAAGAGGACAGGGCAGATTGAATAGAGTCCAGGATGTGGCCCTGGCTGTATATTACTCTGTATATTACTGTTTTGCCACTGAAGGTCCAGATTCGAGGCTGCAGAGCTGTCAGTGACCAAACATGATGGACCACCCATCAGCCTTTTATTAACCAGCACTTGTTCCCCCCTCTAATCCTATCACCAGAGTAATCAAAGCTGCCATGTCCCAGGGTTTGATGGAATAGCAGGACCTGGGAAATGAAGACTGATTTTGTTAACAAAGTCATTCCTGCCCCATGAATGCTGTCTCATTGGTAGAAAGCGGGGAGATGAGGTTTATTTGTGCAGAGAATGAGGCGGCAAAGAAATGAAAGGGGGAGAATGGTGAAGTGTGAAGTTTAATCTGGCACAGTCTGAGGTTTCTTTCTTTGAGGCCGTCTCTGATCCAATCAACACTGGTTTGATATTTAACATCTCCCCCTGCAGTTGGAAATGATACCAGCCAGAGGAGACCGGAGTCAGGGCTTCCCAAACAGCCAAAGGGGAGAGAAGGGGGTTGCTGGCAGCTCCTCACCAGCCTGACAGCTTCCCCACCAACAGGCTGGCAGGAAGCTGGACCCTGACACAAAATTTCCCCTACAAACATTGGGATTCAGGGAATCTGCTATGAGCTGAAGGCAGACTGTCCCTGAGGAGAGCAAGCTCGGGATGGAATGGGGAAGGGATTTTAGTTCTAATGTGGAGGAAGGGCTATGAACACTGTCTGGGACTGTGGATCCCGCTGAGAAACAGGATCAAATACAAGCAAGAGATGCCATCCACCTCCCCAGGGAACAGCAGTTTGGGTACAGCAGTAAGACTTCCCCCTTGCTGACTGTACAGACCTTCAGTGGGGACACTGCAAGCACTCCAGGGTGATGAGGGTCCCAAGACAGCCCTGGGCCATCAGGGAGGATGCACCAGACCTGAGCAGCTGCAGGAGCCACCCTCACAATTCTCCTAACTCCAACAACAGCCTGGGGAAAGCTTCCCATCATAGACCCACATGAGGGTCCCAAAGAGAAGAGAGAGTTTAGCCCTAATCCCAGCTGGCCCTCAGAAAACACAGGGATGAGCCCTCACAGCAAGTAATGGCTGCAGTGCCTCTGCCAGAATTCCACAAGAAGGCCTGGAATGTCATCTACCCCTCACCAATTCTCAGCCCTGGCCAAGTTGATTTTGACCTTTTCTGGCCACTTTCTACATAAACATCAGTGCTGTTAGACAGACTTGTCTGCTTCCTCTTCTTCACCTGCCTCAGCTCTTTCTGTCCCATCTCCCATGAAAACCCTGAAAATTCAAATACCAAGGAGCAGTAAAATTTCAACCTGACCCAAGCCTGCTACCAATTCCCCTGCATCCAGGCTCCCAACACTGCCTTCTGCTGGGATTCAGACACCTTGACACCAGCTCAACCATACACAGGGCCTGGACTTTGAGTGACCAGCAGCTGCCAGAGTCCCAGGAGGTGGGATAACACTTCCCCCCAGGATCTAAGCAGGAGGCAGGAGGATGGGAGTGATGTGGAAAAGCAGCAGGAAAGACTGTGCAAGGGTTTCAGGGTGAGCAGAGCATCAAACTACAAAGTTTCGGGGTTTACAACAGAAAACAATGCTCCCTGCCCTACCTGCAGGAGCTGGCTCTCCAGGAAGCAGCTAATTATATGAGCCATCTTAATCTTTTTATCCGGCTAAGACAATCAACATTTCAAAGCCACGCACAGAACGTTTCAAAGATCGTTCCTGGTCAAAAATGCAAGTGTATCCACTTTCTTTCAGAGCAGATCAAAACCAAGTACCACACCGGGACCACTCCTAGATTTCCTCCTCCTCACGGTATCAGATTAACAGATTTGGTGCATGTAGTCAGATTAAATATTTGCAGTAGCACAAAGCTGCCTTTGAGGAGAAGAAGTAGGGAAAAAAAGCTTTTTTTGTCCTTTTTTTTTTAATTTGCTTAGGGCAAAAATACTGGACTTTGGGGATGTGGGAAACAAAAGCATTGACATGATTCAGCAAGGCTCAGTCCTAAAACCTGAATTCTGAATGCAGAAATAATGTGCAGTGTTCCTGTAATACTAATGCTGAAAACAGGTAAAAAACCACTGATGCCCTTAGCAGATTTGGGACTATAATTTATCACAGATGTTCTCATCAAACTGTGCAAACACCCTGCGAGACTTCTGAAAAGCTGCTCAATTTCTGATTTCCATTTTTGTGGGTTTTAATTACGTGTTGCTTAAGGAAGGCTCCAAGACCTGGAATTGGGAGGTGAAACCTTGCAATACTAATCCACTCCACTAAATTAGCACAGTAATACACCAAGCAGTAGGACTGCCAGACGGTGTGATAACATTACAAATTACTATTGTTAAACAACTAGCCAGGTGTCAGGATGCATGGAAATCTAGAGGAAGCAAGAAAATAAATATCTGGTTTGTTTTGTTTAATTTTGTCTCCTGTTGTTCTGGTGGCCTTGTTCCCAGAAAAAGCTTCAATCTAGGAAAATTCCTCCTGAACACTGATCTATTTCAGCAACTTTGTCAATTCTCTCTAACAATTAAAATGGAATGTATTATTTTAATCAGCACAAATGTTTTGCATAAATGACTGTCCTTTGCTTGCCAATAGCAGTAATACCTTTACTGGTCTTTTTTAGATTATTTTTGGAGCAAAATGAATGGGAAATTTTTGTTTCTATTTAAAAGTTGGACAGAAACAATTATGGTTAAGGGCAGCAGTGAGTTTTGTACTCTGTCCCTTTTCCTTTCTCTGTTGCTCACTCTCTCTGGAAAGAAAAAAATGTAGCATGATTCACATTTTAAAAGCTTCCAAGTGGTACATTTTTAACCAGGTGCTTTCATGTGCTTGATTCTAATGCCATTTTTGACCTAATACAACCAAACACTATAGGATGTCTCGAATGGTTAATTATTTTTACCTCACCTTAAAGAAGGGGCTCAACAGAGAGGACAGGCATTTAAACCTTTCAGACAGAACAGTGTAAAACGAATTCCTTGATTTGGATGTGTGCTAAATAATGCACAGGTCCTGAGGGGCTTTCTTCTAATTATTTTTGTTGATAAACAAGAAAATACATTCAAAAGTGTATGGAACAAATCTGCTCTGAAGGCTGTATGCAGAGTTAAGACTCCTAGTTGAAATATGGATGAACCAAATGTTAGTGAAAGGCAGACTTTTTCCCCTTCAAATAGCTCCTACTGGACTTCAGGGGAGCAGGGGGTGAAGGCACTCTAAGGACATTTTAATCACACCAAAGATTAGTCCTTTAATCCTTATTCCCCCACATCACCAAGAATTTTTTTGGTCAAAGTAGGACAGTAAGATAAGGCTGGAAATAGACCGCTCCAAAACTAACGACGAAAAGCAGGTTAAGAATGAAATATCATAGCAGTAACTGACACCATCTTAAATCTCCCCCGGATTATTTGTTTTCTTCCACACACGTTCATTTCCTCAATTTCTAGTAAATCTCATTTCACATAAACAGTTCCACAAAGCAAAGTCAATAGCTGTTACTGTGTTCCTCATTAATCCACTGAAATGAAATAGATCTCATGGCTTAGTATTTGGCTGTTTAAAGCTAAATCCATTGAAAGAATTCCGGAGTCCAGTTACACCAATAACTTTCGTTTCTTAACCTACATCCTTTTCTGTTTGGTGAAATTTACCTGCTCTAAAATGAAATAAACCCATGCATATTGCACACTCAATTTCCCCCAGTACAAAGGCAACATGAGCCACTTTGTTTTGACCCGGAATGACCACTAAAAAGACGACTGACAGTTTGCATGCACTTAAATCAATCTGAACAATGTGGAAATTTCTATTTTCATTGTTCATGCTTCATCCTCTTCCTGACAAGTACCACAGAGCTGCTTTACTTCAAAACAAACAAACAAACAAAAAATCACTTTTTGCCCAGCTCCGGGACAGGATGGGAAGCATGTAAATTTCCCTCACAAGTGGCAGGCAAGCAGACACATACATTCACACCCTGGACATTTGCCTCTCAAATAAATTACACACGTAATAGACACGCAGCACTCCCCACGCACATCACGGGGGTTCTGCAGGCAGAACGGATCAGCGTGATGGAGAACAGGCAGCCCAGCATAAAATCTGCTGAGGCCCACGAGTGACCACTCCGCTGCAGCAGGCTTGGGGTTCACCCCCATCAGCTGATGGAAGCGCAAGGAGAATACCCCCCATATCCTGGGATAAGACACGAGGCCCAGAAGCCTCCTTACCTGGGAGAAGTTGAGCCCGTTCAGCGGGTGACACTGCTCCTCCACCCGCTCCACCGCACCCGTCTTCTTCTTCATCCTCTCGGCCTCCTGGGCGAGGTAGAGATCGAGCACCGGCACCCCTCTGGAGCGGATGTCCGTCTCCGTCAAGGAGTTCACCATGAGCATCACCCAGACGGGCCTCTTGCGCTCCCAGTTCCCGGCGATGGCGTTGAAGAGGTAGTCGGCATAGAGCCCTTTGCCCCGCTGGTCCGGGGTCATCCAGTGGGGCAGCATCAGCTTGATGTAGTCCAGGTGGCGTTTGAGGCGGCGGTAGAGCTCCCGGGGCAGCACATCCTGCAGGTTCTCCCCGTGGGGCAGCATCTGGCAGCTGGCCAGCCCCGAGATGGTGTACGGGTCCGTCAGGTCCAGCTCGAAGTACACGCTGGAGCTGGCGTGGAAGGCGGCCTTGGAGTTGTCAGGGATGAAGTCCCAAACTCGCGTGTAGGGCACGTGGATAGTGCCGAAGAGATAAGCGGGGGGGTCACGGCGAATGGTCCAGAGGAAGGAGTTGAGCTCTCCTTGCTGCGGGGAAGACAGAGGGGCTGCTCAGTGATGGAGGGGCACAAAGGAAGGAGACAGCGATGCCACCCTCAGGGCTGCCCGCAGGGCAGGAAGAGCGGGCGTCCCGCTTCCCCCTCTCCTCCTCGCACCAGCCCCACGCGGGCTCGCAGCGAGCAAAGCCCACGGGCACCATGAAGCCCGCGTGGGGCTGGGTCCCGCCGTGACCCCCGACTGCCACGGGGACACGGCCCGGGCCCCTCCGCGGGGCACACGCGGGGCAGCGCCGCCACACCTGTGGGGGCCACGGGCGCCCGCGTGCTCGGAGCGGGGTTGGGGTGGGGGGGGGGGGTCCCTCCGCGCGCCCCCGTCCCGCCCGCGCCCCGTGGCCCCCACGCGCCCCGCGGAGGACACGCGCGCATCCCCCGCGGGCCGGCGCACCCCCGGCCCGGCCCGGCCCGGCTCACCGAGCGGGGCAGGTCGCACTGCCCCGTGTCCATCTGCTCCCGCCGGGCCGCGGCGTCGGGCAGGAACCCCCCGAAGACGAAGCAGATCAGCGTCAGGTTGAGTTGCATCCCGCTTCCTCTCGGTCTCCTCTCTCTCCTTCCCAGATGAGCCTTTTTGGATTTCTAGGATCTTTTTTTTTTCCTCCCCCCTCCTCCTGCTCTTCCCCTTTTTTTTTTTTTTTTAGCCTTTTTTTTTTTTTTTTATTCAAACAAACTTTGCCAGTCCCATCTGCATCTGACAAGTGCAGGGGGAAGGACTGGCTGCCCCCTCCCTCCCATGCTCTCCCCCCTCCCGCCCTTTCCCACCCCCACCCCCTCTGGCTCCGGGCTTGTCAGAGGCGCTGGATGCTTTGGGGAGGACGGTTCTCATCGCCAGCCTCCGCCATGCTTTGGTGTTGCAGACCGGAGACGCTCCTTCCCGCCCCGCCGCTTCGGGAGGAGGTTGGGAGGAGAGGGGCGGGGGGGGAGAAGAGGGGGGAAGCGGGGGGGAGAGCAGCCAGAAAGTAAAAAAAAGTTTAAACCCAAGATTTTTTGGACTGGTTTTTTTTTTCTTTAATTCGGCGGTCCAGAAGGGGGTCCCGCGGCGCCTTGCGGAAGGCGGGCGGTGCTCGGCAGGGCGGCGGCGGCCCCCGCGCCCCGGCTCCGCTCCTCGCTCCCCGCTCCGGAGGCCGGACCCGCGCGCCGGCGGAAAGTTCCGCGCAGCCGCCCCGGCCCGCCCGCGCCTCCCGCCGCCTGCGGCCGCCGCCAGGGGGCGATGGCGGCCCAGCGGCGGCCGCGGCTGAGGGGCGGCGGCGCTTGCCAGGCGCCCGCCCGGCCCGCGGCACCTGCGCGGCGCGTCCCGCGCGTTAAACACCAACAAACAGCGCGGAACCGACAAGTTCCGACATCCCCACACTCGATCGGTTGGCAGAGTCAGTCCAACGGGACTTGTCACGGGCAGGAACCGAGGGCAGTCGGCTCTGCGGGGGATGCCCTGCGGCGGCCCCGCTCAGCCCGCGCTGACCCGCGCGGTCAGGACATGTCCGGCTTTCCCCGGCCCCTCCGAGCCCGGCGGGGAGGGCAGCACAAGGACGTGGCCCCTGCATGGCGCGGGCAGCATCGTACCGCGTACCTCAGCTGTCCTCACCGGGACCCCTGCCTCCTGAGCTGCGCAGGGGGATGGAAGCAAGGAAACTTTTGTAGTTTTCAAGCATGAATCATTAGCGATCCAGCTTCCACTTGGACCGAAAAGCCGCAGCAACGCGACCTGAGGTGATTCTTGGTGACGGGGAATCTTCCAGGATCCCTGGGCGTCTGGAGCCCTCTGTTGCAGAAGGCGTTTGAGTTCAGCAGCTCCAAATCACCCACTTAGCGTGTGTTTAACAGTTACAGAGCAGAGGACAGGCTGACAGTGCTTGTCACCGTCACATGCCAGAACTCCTGCCTCTCCAGATCCATTCTGGGCAGGGATGGGAGTCAGGCTGCCGGACATAGCCCATTCTCCCCTCAGAACACTGCCCAGCCCCAAGTATCACCCTCATCCTGCTGTGTGCAGCAGAGCTGATCTGTACCCTGGCTTGCCCATCACCTCCCCAACTGTAAACCCTGTCCAAAACTGGGAAGTTCCTCACTGTATTGGCAATAAGCAAAACTACCAAAATTTACACGATGAAATGCTGCATTACTATAATGCTGCACGGAGCCAGTAGAGTTTTGCCACAGTGACAGACTCAGGCCCACTTGGATGTAAATGTGGCTTCCTGAGAGACTGTGAGGGACACCGGTTGCTGTGGTACCTAATGGACCAAAGCAGCCATACAGGCTGCTGAAAGGCATTTTGGAATCACAGTGTGCATGCCCTGCACGCTGCTCCTGGCAGGAGAGCATCCTCCTCACCACAGTGTTGGAACCAGCAGCTCCTTTCTAAGTAATGCCGCTCATCCTCTTGTCTCTCCTCCCAGATCTCCCAGACAGGTAAAAATCAGGTGGAGTAAGGGACTGGTTTTTCCTCATTGTGTTTCTAGCTCTTTAATATTTCAAATAAATATTCCATTTTCTGGTTCCACCCTGAGACATGCAGTTCAGATAAGGGAAAAGTAGAGAAAAACAGAGAGGCAGAAGGATTTTTAGCACACAGGGTGTCCCATTGCTGCAGTACAGGATGGTCCAGTGAGACAACCAAGTCATGGCTGGGTGTTGGAGTCACCTGTGGCTCTGTGCTGTTGGGTTATGGAGTGGCAGCAGCTCTGTGTGTGTTGCTTTGTAGGCAGTGATTGCTCTTGTGCCCTCCCCACCAACTCACTTCCCTGGTATTGCTGGTGTGATGGCACAATCCCGCAAGGACAGGGAGGGCAGAGCCTGGCTTCATGTGCCCACAGCATCTTTCTCTCTGCAGCAGCCCCACCTTTCTCCCACGTGTGCCTCAGCACACACTCCCAGCCTCCCACCCCAAATGTGGCCAAATGTCACTGTAGCTGTGCCCAGACCTGAAATTAAGGCCCAGAGCAGGAAAGTTGTGCAGTCCATGTCCCAGCAGATGTCACACAACAAGGGCTAAGTAGAGTCACAGCACAGCATCCTGTTGCTTTTCCCTAAGCTGCCACAAACGATTGCAAAGCTGCAGGCTGGATGCTGACACTGTAACACAGAGCTGCATTTGCTCCACCTGGATCAATCTCTCCTTGCGTTCAGCAAGCGCCACATCCAAAGTGGCATGGCTGCACTTGCCCGGCTTAGTGGCTTTGGCTTGATCTGCCCAAATCTCTTCCAAAGCTGTGAAAGAACAGAGGGGCCTCATCAGGAGACTGGTGGGGACACCAGGAGTGACGTGACCCAGAGTCTCACGCCCTGGAGAAGATCCTGGGAGGTCTGTGAGGATGTGAGGCCCTGCTCAGTGCCGGGTGCTGCGCTGCGCTGTGAGGGAGGCGATTGCCCTCATCGATAGCATCCATATCAAAGCACCCAGGGCAAGAATAAACAAACATCTTTGGCACTGTGCTCGTCTTCCATGAGCCAAAAGGCAGGTGAGTGTGTGTGTGAGTGTGAGTGTGAGTGTGTGTGGATAGCAAGTTTTCCAGCCGTTTCCCTGAACTCAGCCCTGATGTTGCAAGAACTGTCTAGCTGTGAAAACACGGCCTCGCCTTGATTTATGCCGCTTGTGGGTAAGATGACTAAGAAGAAGGGGGGGAAAAAAAAAAGAACGGAACAGGAACAGAAATCCCAGTGGGAGCACGATGAGGGTGTGTACAGATTTGGTGGGACAGTCAGGTTGGGGAAACTGCAGCCAGAGCTTCAGGCAGTAGGAAGAGGAGACCACAAAACCACATGCTATGTGTCATGATGTTCCACCTAAGATACAAAAGCATGCCACAAGTTTTATGAAGGCAACTCTTTGGTAGCAGTAAAGAAATTAATTCTTTTGTGAAATTGTAACATTTTTTTTCTCCTTCAGATGAGTTCCATATGTCCTCATGATTTTTACTTTTAAACACAGCAGTTTAGAACAAATCTTAAGTAACATTTAGCCTGCGTCTAAAGTAAATATTTACAAAAACATTAAATAATGGTGCTGATCTTTGGAAAATGTGTATTGCTCCCTACCTGCTACTGTTTTTTGCCTTTCTGGACTAACAGAGAGGCTTTGTAATAAAGCCCAAGGCTGTAAAAGCAGTGTAACAGTGTGATTAGAAGTAATCAGGTGTAAAATACTGACTATTAAAAACTGTGAAGAGGAAGGAGGGCTAAGCTGAAATGGAAGGTTACATTAGTTTCGTTTTAACAAATTTTAAGAAAATTAATAGGAGAATTGGCTTTTAATCTTACAAAAGCTGTATTATTTTTGTGGAAGCATAATAAATAGTTATAGCTGTTATTTATGTCATGTATCATTTTCAAAGAGCCTTAATAAATAAATATTAATCATTTCACCAACCACTTAAAGGCAACCACTTTAGGGGTGCGGTGAGGCAACAACTTACCAAGTGAGTTGTGCTGAAACAGGAAGTGAAGACAGCCAGATTCAATAAGGAGTCCGTGTGGGTATAAAAAATATTTGTGGAGGCTTTAACAATATGTTTAATGAGGTAAAACAAAACTCCATGGAATAGAGGGTAGTTTTCTTTGTTAATGAGAAGCATGAATTGAAACTTGTAATTACAGTGAGTTTTCAACAGGTAAAGAAGATTATTAGATCTGAGAGAAAACAGCTTGTGAGGGATCAGTATTTGCATGCTGGGAAGTGTAACATTTTTTTAAATAATGTTCTCCTCTCTGCTCACCTTCCTCACAGGAAAAACACCATATTGCTGGCCTGTGGTGCAGGAGTATTTCCCTGTCTCCACCTTGGTGTACTTTCATTTGAAGGCACCTGGTGAATTTCAGTCTCTGCATTTCTTAAAACCTTCCTGCAGTAAGGAACTCCTCATTGGAGTGGCCAATGGCTCTCCCCAAACCTCTCCTGTGGCAAAACTGGAAGAGTAAGAACCCAGCTTTTCCTTTTTCCATTAATGAAGCTGAAGGTGTCTTGTGCTCCTGCCAGAGATGGTAGATGAGATTCAATCTTCTTGTACACTACAGGTCACAGAACAGTTTAGGTTGGAAGGAACTTCCTGAGGTTTCAGGTCCAACCACTCTGAGCTGGGTTCATTTCAAGGTTCGATCATGCTGCTGAAGTTCAATTAAAGATGCTAATTAGATTTCTTTACTCTTGTACACAGGTGGCATTCTCTGTAGCTGTCCTGGACTCAAAAAAGTATTAAGCCTAAAGCAGTTGCACCGCTAGCTGTCATGCGATGGCTTGTTATTTGCTGTGACACCTGTGCTGTGATGTGTCTGGCAAATAGATTTTCCTGCAGAAGATTGATTTTGATGTTGTAGTCACATAAAACATCGTTGCTCAGCCATGCAATTCATGATTTGAAACATGCAGTTGTCAGATGAACAAGCCTCCACTACTTAAGGCTGTCATGCTGAAACTGCTGAATTACCACAACTGTTTCAATGTTTCATGTCTTTTTTTTCATGTGTGTTGCGAGCAATACAATGTAGTCACTGTAGTGGATCTTACTTTTCCTGCCTTTTTGTCCTCCTGT